TCTCTCTCTCTCTCTCTCTCTCTCTCTCTCTCTCTCTCTCTCTCTCAGTTTACTATTTTGTAGGAAAAATGAAGTAAATTACTAAATTAAACATTTTTAATTTACTTCTAGAAATTAATTAAAAATATATAATATAAAATAAAAGAATCCATACAACTATTGTTGCTATCCTCCTCTGAAAGAGATATTTAATTTATTAATTTATTTTATTTTTTCTTAAAATTATAAACTGACACTTAAGTAACAAAAGTCTCAATTCCAATTGCTTCTTCCCTTAAACAAAATCCTAGCTACACTCGTGTAACATTTATAAATATTTCCTAGTATTTGTAAAAAAATATTTATGATGTGTGCAAACTAAAATTACAAATGTGCTTTACAAAAATATTTATAAAAAATAAATCTTATAAATATTTATAAACATTTTGTAAATATTTTACAATTTAAATGTTATCTATCTGGGACTGATTTATGACACACGTCCGAATTTCCACAATTGAATTATTCACAATTTTGAATTAAAATAAAAATGAAAACTAATAATAGTTGTATTACTATCAATATAGAAGGTGAAATTATTGATCTCTCGAGAAGACTGTATCTCTTTATGTGAGAGTTGGCGAATATCTAAGATTAACGACTCTCAACGTTTAAACCGATCAAGTTCTGAATAGACTCAATCAATACTGGGTCCGAACAGATTAAACGCGATGGTACTTTCAATTTTGTGGTCTTTTGATACAAATGGTTGCATTTTGAAGGTATCGATAGCCAAGATCACTTTCTCTTGCGTGTACATGTACATGCGTGCGTACGTGCGTACGAATTTAATAGACGTCGATTTACGAGAAAGTACGGCAGTACGCAGCGGTAATTTCTCAAATAAATGTTTTTTTTCACTGCTGTAATAGCGCTGGTATACTATTACAATTCAATTCATATCTCAGTTTAAACTATGAGGGTCATTGCTCGAGAGAGTCCTTTTCACAAAGCTTTTCCTTTCATACGATTCTTTTGATAATCTAAAAAACCAACAGACATAATAGTTATTTGATATAAATAACGCAAAAATTAATTTCATGTTTATGTTATTATCATTTTGTAATATTTCTCTAATGATCTATTTTACAGGTGCAATCTACAAAGAAAAGTGTGCTGAAGAAAATTAGATCAGAAGTCACGAATAGCAGATTTGCTTCCTCAGAAGTAGGAATCGTGAGATACTCAAAATTTTTAAACCTATCTTCAGTGACCCAGACACACATATACAAAACTTTTATATTATTAATAATTTATTTACAAATTATTTACAATATTATTTAAACAATATTATTTACAAATTAAATTGTATTGCAAATTAATTTTTTATATTTTGAATATAACAATAAATAACATCTAATAAACGGAAAACTAGCTCCTCTTTAATTAAATTCGCTTTTATCTTTTATTTTCTAAACTTTCTACTCTATATTAAAAGTAATGCAAATATTTTTCAGAAGACCCAGATAATAACATTTATAAACAATTTATACTCATGACTCAATTACTCAAACACTTTCTTATCTCTTTAATTTTGTGAAATTTATATTTTAATATTATTTTTGACATATATTATAATTTTGAATATTTTTTTATGTCTGATATACAGGCACGTATGTCATTTTTTTTTAATTGAAAGATCTACAAATCGTAAACTATATAAATATGTAAAATTCAAAAAGTTAAATTAGAATATTTAAGAATGTAAAAAAAATGTAAAGATATACATAAAGATAAACAAAAGCAGAGGAAGATTTTTAAAAATTCAAGAATTAAGTTGAAAGATCTAACAATTAAATAACAGCATACAGAAACATAAGAATTTAAGAACTTGTTATTGTTAAACATTCAATACGACGGACAAAAATTCTTAATATCATTTATTATCATCTCTCGTTTTCTTGTCACTTAGCTCGAGAGCATCAAAGCAATTAGAAACTAGCTTTCTTAGGTGCATGTATGCCACATGCCGTGTTCGAGAATTATTATGGAAAGCACTTGAGTCCGTTGAGCACGTCATCGTCATGACCGAAATGGCTTTAACCGATCGTGAAACCGCCGTCCGAGTTTTGCACACATATAGAAAGTAACACGCTTTCCTCGCACTTGCTCTTTGCGAGATCAATTCTTTGCTCCTATTCAAACTTCACCAATAACCAATCACGTGGCCATCATAAGCGAATTTCGTCTTGAAATCGCTTTCAGATGATGATGTAGTTTTTTACAAACTTACAAGCGTACTTTCATAAAACATAAGTTAAATCTATAAATCCGTGTTTTTTTATTTTAGGAAATAATTAATTTAGATCTAATTATATTTATCACAACGTCAAATATTCACATTCGAACAAAAATAGATGGAAGAAAAATTATTAAAAGACACATTAAATGTTAAATACACACACACACAATTTATTTCATTTAATTTCGTATACATATAGTAAGTGTAAGTAAAGAAAGCTTTTAGAAATGATAGATTTATTACGTTCATGTAAATCTTGATAAATATTTAATAAAATGTAAATCTTGAATTGACAAATATTTAATGAAAAAATGTTAAGATATGTTCCAAATTTATTGTAACGTCAATTTAAAAAATCTTGATGAAAATATATTTCGAAGATGATAAAAATAAAATAAAAGCTGCACACATGATATATTATACAGATAAAATCATGTTTCTATGACTTCAATTGTCATAGAAACAATATAAATGAGGAACTAAGTTTTAAGCGTATCGAGAAAGGGTAATATCAGTTACATAAGAAATATAAGTCAAAGGTAAGTCACTATTTTCCACGTAATACGACGCCTTGCGTAACGTTATTTTTCTACAAACTTGGACTCGTGCGCTTCATCAGATTTAAGATTAATATCATATGATGAATAGGTCGTAAATCACATATTACGAAGATAAATTATCAAATCTAATTAGAGATTTGTAGATTTAACACAAACAGCTATACATTTTGATTTCTAAAACTATATAAATTACAAGGCACTTATTAATTAAGTTTAAAAAGTATCAATTATATTATAAGTATGTTTAACGAAATTCATTATATTAACGATATTCTCTCGTGACATTATCATTAATTAAGTTCAGATATCAAAAGAATTTTCTATGAATAATTACACACTGCGTAATGCGAATGTTATATGAACGATAATTAAATAATTAAATAATGAGCAAGTTTACCATTTAAACATAGTAAAGTAAGATGATACAATTTTAAAGCCTGTGCAGTGGTCCAATTTTGAACTAAATAAATTTAAATTAAGTTTTCAAAGATTAAATTTGATCTTCTGATCTCATTTGTGGAAGGTGCTAAAAGGTATCAAATAGAAAAAGCCGAAAAATTAAATTAAAATCTTACTTCGTTCAGAATTGTACTATATTCAAAATTATTTTAATTACATGCAGTTTCTATTGACAAACGGCCTTTTTTCCTCTTTTGATTAATTATTATATTTATAATACATTAATTTAATATTTCTGATTTTCTAAATTATTAATTAGCTTTAAAATGTAAGAAATTTAAAATGTATTATATTTATTAAAAAAAAAAATGTTATTAGCATTTAATAAAACTTCAATGTTTTGGTCAGAAAAATTCCTCTATTGGTATGCAAAAAATTCTAATATCTTTTAAAAATGATTTAGTTAATTGACGAAGTATTATAACATTAAGAGTCCTAGTTCGCGATTAATTAATAATCGTTGGTGTAATAGAATGTAAAAAAAAGGAATGTGTATGTATATATGGATATATCGTATTTAAAGAAAATCCTGTACCGGTTTTTTCCAGCTATGTTCACTAAGGTCTCGATTAAAATCCGAGCAAAGTGAAAGTGAGAGGAGCTGTGTGTAAAAATGGTATGTAATGCGTTCGACGAGGCACACGAGACATAATATTACATCAAAGTTCAGTTCACATCTCTATATAAACGACACAATGATCGAAAGGATGTCAAAGATTATGAAACACACACACACATACACACAACACACACAGTATAAATTTTTATACAATCTATCAAGTTCATGGTCATCGTTCATAGATGCAATTAATCTTCTTCTGATTGATAGACACTTTCTCTAAGCCTATTTTATTAGATATATGATTTGATTTTAATCTAATATTAACATATTTATATGAATATTAACTGTGATAATAAATTTAAGACTATAAGATTAATAATTAAGATAAATAATTAAGATTATAACATAGAGGAGCATTATATAACGATAGGAAGAAAGACAGGAAGTAGTGCAATAAGCAATTAAAATAAGAGTGCGCGTGAGAAAAGTAGGGATAGATGAGTGAAGTAAGAACAAAGTTTAGTAAACCCCAAGCCCCTCTTTTATAAATGCTGAAAGAATAAATTCTGTTTTATTTTATAAACATGTTTATAACAGAAAAAATGCGTAAATAAAATTTATTATTTAGATTTGCTCAAAAATGAGTCAGAACGTCTAATTTATGTCTTATGTAATTATATCTATGGAATCACATATTGTCTTTAAATTTTTGCGTATTATATATTCAGCTGACTTTCATTTGTTCTCTTCAAACGACACACACAATATATTTATAAAATATTTACAAAATATTTGAAAAGATTTATAAGATTAATTTTTTTTATATTTTATAAATATTTTTGTGATCTAATAGACTTCACAGATCATCATAAATATTTATTACAAATATTATGAAATATTGTAAATGTATTGTAAATGCTATGAAAATACTTAATGAGACATAATCCAAGTAAAAACTATTTTGACCAAGTCTACTATAGAAATGTTTATTTATATTTATCATAAATATTACATATAAATATTTAGTCTATATTTTAATAATATTTCGAATAAAACTTTATATATAAAATATGTATAAAATATTTATATATAACTTTTCAAAAAATAAATATTAATAAATATTTTGTGCTGTTTATTCCAATCACTTTGTGCATAAATAGAATTATTCAGAATCAAATACAGAATATATACAGAATTTCCGGTTTTATAATTTTAGTAACGGAATTTTATGTATTACAAATTACACGTATATATATGAATGTTACATTTACTACACGTTATATGTGTGTCGTAATTTCTTATGTATTCTTTATATTTTTGTAGTATTAAATATATAAAATATCATTGAATTCTTTTCGAATTTGATCACGTTTTAATGACTGAACGTTGATTCTATAGTTAATCGTTTTTGCTCGTTCGATCGGTTTCTCCAATTTCGTCATTAAGAAAATCTCGAAAACTTTCTCCGCGGAGCAGGAGATTATTACTATTGATATAATTTCCGGCGAGATGTATAATAATCTTTTTAACAAAGTCGCTGTTTTATTACATATTCACGTATTTAACTTGAACCAGAAGGGCGTTCTCCTCGCAGCAACTGACTTTCCGGCTGCCGCGTAAAGAAAGCAATATATTGCATAATGGAAAAAGAGATAGTTGTTCGGTTACTATCAAAGGCGGCTGTATATAGTGTAATACGCATAACTCGACCGGTTGGTTTAAGATTTAAGGAAATCTCAAATAGTCGCCGCCGGGCAACATTTTTCCATAATTTCCTCGTTAAATACGATACGCCAATCAGTTCGCTTCTCATCGCCATTAATCTTGCCCCTCTTTATCAAACTAATTGATTACATATTGCAATATTTTTTGGATTGATATTAACAAAACATATGGAGTGAAAAACTTGATAATTAATTCATTTTTAATAGTTTTAATCCAATTTTTAATAAAGAAATCATATAATAGTAATGAAAAATAAGATAGTTTCATTACCGGTTAAATAAAAAAAAATTAATCTTAAAGATCTGTGTTATTTAGTTTTCAAAACATTATAGTTTAATAATTATAAATTAATAAATATTAATATTATTTATTATCTTTTATATTTAAATTAAAAATGTAAATTTAAATATGTTACCATTTAAAATTATTTTCAGTTTTTTTTTATTTTAAGTTAAAACTGAATAGAAAGAGAGAAAAGAAATATAGAAAGAGAAGGGAGAGAGAGAAAGAGAGAGAGAGAAAGAGAGGGGGGAGAGAGAGAGAGAGAGAGAGAGAGAGAGAGAGAGAGAGAGAGAGAGAGAGAGAACATAAATTTAATAAAGTTAAAATTTATTTACACCAACAGAATAAAATTCATAAAAATTATGGCTATTGTATATTGAACATCAATTAACTTCATGAAAATACTATTTTAAGTAAAACGCAATTTTTTATCAACAGATAAACAACATATGTATGTGTCTAATTTATAATCTGCTGATATAATATACTGACATAATTCAATATATAATTTGCACATACTTCATATACAATTTACACAAGTTATGAAAAGCTTTTACTACAACGTTTTAATTGAGTTGATTCATGCATGTGGCATGTGCAAACGAGTAAAAAAAAATATAAAAATGAGTGAATTCAAACATACGCAATGGCGTGTTACAGAAGTACTTTCTCTGAGATAGCAACATTGTTTCAAGTCGAGGGGTTCATGTCGAGAGACCTCAGAAGTCCGCCAACTCCAAGAATTTTATAAAATTAACTCGGTCACGCACGGTGGAATAGGAATTATGACACGTGCCTAGCGAGAAACCAACGAGAACCGGTTGGGTGCAACGCGAAATCATTTGGTTGCAAGATAAGGAAGTCGAGCATTTAAATTGCACTTATCTCGATAGTACAGTCATTAACCTTATAGCATATCGATCGCATTCTTAGGCGTTAATCAAGTGTTAAATTTCATTATTCGGAATTGTACAAATTTGAAATTTTTCAAATGGAAAAAAATTCTATTACTCTTAGAAATTTAAATACAAAGTAAAAATTAGCGCGTTAGAAAAAAATGATATTTTAATATAGAGTAACATATTTTAACATTTTAAATATTAATAAGAAAATGTATATTAAAACAATTTTAGCTTTAAAAATAGAAACACAATAATATTATATAAAAATTTATATTTTAGAACATATTTTGCTTTTTTAAAATTAATTATCAAACAAGCATTATCTTAAATCTGGAATACATCGCGAGATATTTAAGACCTAATAATAATCGAAAGCAAAATGTGTGGCACCATAATTAATATTTAAATATTTATTTTATTTTTAAAATTTAAAAGATTTTTTTAATGAAAGAGAAAACAAGAGTTTAAATTTCCAATTAATTTTAATCTTTATGTTAAATCTTAATGTTAAAACTAAATTTATGCATATACAAGATGTTATTCAAATTATTCCAATAACTTCTGCTAAAAATTCTTTAAATATAATAAATGTAATAAAAACAAGTAATTATTATATTAATAAACTAGAAATAATTAAAAAATAATTATATGTAATACAATAAATTCAAATACGTCAATAAATATAAAAATAAGTAAATGTAAATTGACATAAAAAAAAATAATTTTTTTAGATTTTAATAAATTAATTATTTTTAAAAAATGCAACAAAGTTGAATTTAAATAAACATAAATCTGTATATAAATAATGTATTAAAAATTACTAAATTTTATTTTCATATCTTTATAATTTTAATTCATATTAACACAATTGTAATTTATATGTATAAATAATATTTAAAAAATCCGAATTTTTTCGAGTATTTTTACTAAAAACAAATAGCAATCAACAAATTACGATGATGTATGGCTAGAATCCTTTTAGTTCTTCAAAATGTATTTCGTTGAAGTTTCACTGATTTACAAAGCTCTCACTTACCTGTCACTGACAAAAATACTAGGACAGTTCAATTCAAGACGAATAAAATACTGCAAAAGATTAACAACACACGCGTGCTTTATCTTGGCCAGTCGACATGTCACTCTCTTATATAGCGTATTCCGCTGAAAGTTGCCTCCACCAGATGAAATGGATTCGGTCCTCTTCAAGGTAGTGGGAGACTCCTCGCGTCTGTATCATCGCGCTTTTTCTACAAGATGCACCTGTTCGGAAGTCCGTTGTCAAAGTTTTTATTAAAATAATAGAACTTTAGTAATTTTTTTGTTACTATCATTTGTCAATTAAAAGTATATTTGATTGCAATGCTAGTAAATTTTAATAACGATAAAGAATTATTGAAAAGAAATCTAACTTATATAAAATCAAGTAAATGCATTTTATAATATGGAAAGTAGAAAAAAATCAAATAAAAAAAATCAAACAATAAAAGCCTCTGCAATTAATAATAAAATAAAATAATCTAATTGATACAAATCATTCTGTTATAAGTCTTTCAACATTAAAGGCTCATTTTTAACTGCGAATGTTGCAGAGTTATACGTGTTATTGAAATCTTTCTAAAAGATTTATAGTAGCTACTGAGATAATTAAAAGAAAGAAGATTTCTTGATCCTAATTATAATAATTTACATTCTAAGTAAATCTCATATTCTCCTACATCATTGAGAATAAAAACTTTTGCAATCGTTCTTTATACTTTACATTTCGAAAAGAAAAAACTAGGTGCACCCACGTGTGAAGCCCATGGTATTGAAATTTTTGCAGCGCAATTGCGAGGAAAGCATAATTGTAGATCGTAATTGTTGAGGAAGCAAGATGTATTCTCCAATATATCTTACGAAGTATAGAATCAAGATCGCATCTTAATTAAACGCAAGATGAAAGATAGAATGGGAATGCATAATTAAGCATGAAACTCTGATCTGTCGATCATTCCGGAAGATCAGCCCGCGGATCCGCTGGCAGAAAGCGAATCACGCCCTTTCCTGTGTCGTTCTTTTTTCCTTTAACTTTCCACTATTCAACCATCCAACTATAGATAAATAGATAAAGGAGCTTATATATATCTACTGCTCTAGAACATTTTATTGTATTCCAAATTTTTAGTTTGTATAAGTCTAGAAATTTATCTTATTATTATTTATTTTATTTCTTTATTTATATAGTTTTTTCATAAATAATTAATAATCTTACATAAATAGTGTTGCAGTAAAAGCATTTTTCTCATTCCCGTTATTTTCTCTTTACGTTCTTTTATTTCTATGAAAAGTCATCTTTATTAAAAACGGTGAAACTTTGAACCAAGATGCATAATCTCTCTTTTCTTTTTGTGTTTGCGAAATAATCGTCAATGGAAGTCACTTCGTTATTTTAAAAGTCTCTTATTTTTGGTTTTTAAAATAAGAAAATAGAAATTTCCAAAAAATAAATGACAAAATTATTGAAATAAAACAAAAAAATCCTGAATTTAAAATTGTTTCTAATAAATATAATTATTTAATGAATCAGTTAAAAAGTAATTCTCCGTATCTTCCTTTTTTGTAATCATATTTATAGATTTATAATTACTATTATTATTTTATCTTATTTTTATAAAGAAGGTGTATCTATGATATTTTATACTTATTTAAAGATATTTAAATTTGTCTGTCTTCTGTCGTAATATTGCTTATAAGTGTAACTGCGGTTAAATAAGTCGGGTAACTTGACTTGCTTCACGGGTGAGAAATACATCCGGAAGTGTACAAAGTGTGAAGATAAAATTATTAATAACTAGAGTTCATTAAAACTAAACTTTCTTTTACAAATAAAGTAACAGCCGTATTTGAATGTGAAGCAAATTCCAGTGGGATCATAAATTAATAGCCAAATCGAGTATTAACAATTAACAAGGAATGAGGTCAATCTGATACCAAAATATTTGCAATATTTATTTCATATATACTTGGTGTTTAAGAACATTCTTGTTTCTCTCCTGTAAAAGAATTAATAAATATTAAATCTTAGAGGACCGTATTTTATTTATGTCGTCTGAAAAAAAAGTTGTTCTTACTTATAATTAGACCGATTATTACGAAGAATATTACTAAAGCCTCGGTAGTCTAACTGATAGGATGCTTGCACGGAATGTAAGAGATCCGGGTTCGACTCTCAGCCGAGATATTTTTCGCAATAAGAATTAATTATTTACAGTTTTTAATTTATCATTCGACATTATTAAGACCGATTTAAGATATGTAAAGGGCATCAAAATTGTTAAATTACTAACACAATTTAACTCGTGATATTATTGCGGTAGTTTCGTAGAGTGGCGTTTCAAGACCGAAAAATTGTTCGACGCGCGATTTAAAGACTACATACGTATATAAATTCATACGGAATTTTAATAGCATCTAAGATCCAGCTCGACCGTTAAAGGCAATTTCTTATTGGTTAGAATCAATAAAAATTGAAACAAATGAACAATTAAAATATTCACGTTTTCCAGCAATTCATTGACAATACATTGATTAAAAAACATTACATACATCGATATGCATTTAATATGTTGAAGGTATAATGTTATCTTATAAGGTCAACATTAGCTATAAATTGAATGCACCTGTATCACACACCTTAATAATATTTAAAATATTATAATTTTTATCGGAGAATATTGTTACTAATTATATACACAATCACTAAAAACTGTAATTACGCAATAAATTAATGTGATGTTTAAACGCTTTATTATAATTGCAACTAAACAATAATGATATCCAGCTATTGTAGAAACAGAAGTACTGCATTGCAATTTATTATCACAGAATAGAGTTGAGTATAACCATGATTTTGATTGGAACAACGTTTTGATTTTTTATGACGAAAGAAATTATAATAAGATTAATTTCAGAAGCGATTTTCATTAAAAAACAAAAAATGGATTAAATTTATAAAATAATACCGATTTATCGAACCCCTTGCGTTATGATTTAGTCACGAAAGATTGATGTTTCTATGTTTTAAATTTCAAGTATTTATTTTTATGTTTATATTTATTTTTATTCTTGTGTTTCACACTTTAATTTTCTAATTGTGAATTCATCTCTCACTCGCTATTGACATCTCTCTGTATTCACATCGTAATATTATGTAACAAATTATCGTTAATCTGATTTCAATGTAAGTTTTTTAACGAATTTTATATAATTTTAATTTTGACTATATTAATTTATTCTTTTAACTTGTTATTTTAATGGAAATTCTACACGTACAGTTTATATATTCGGTAAAATATAACAGACGACATAGAAGATGATAATAATAATATCATCATAATGATGATTTGACGACTTAGCAACTATACACACTATCTTTATAGTATTATATGGAGTTCTGCTAAACATATTTTTTACACTGAAGAGGACTCAATATCAGGATCCTATTTTAGATTAAAACATATGTACCCCCCTATTATAATTTTTTAATACATGACATACGAATTTTGGCTCACATCCCATTTGTAAGTAACAATTCGACGTCCTTGGACGGAAATATGTGAAAAATCTCGTTTATGTCGCTGTATACGTTAGATGCCTAAAATACATCCCAAGAATATTACTTGAACGTTCTATGATGAAGTGTAAAGGGAAACATTTACCGAAGTTATTTATATACAGATATATTTTATGTCCAAGATACGTTGTAATGTTTAATTTTTAATCAGCGCAAACAATTGTCTGCAAAGTTTGAAGACCTAAAATTATCAAACAACTTTATATATGTATTATACTTTTGTCTTAGGGCTCAATAATTGTTCAGTATCATCCTCTTTATTTTCAACAACTTAAATAGACTAGATAAAATGAATAATTTCCGAATTATCTGTGCTGTTCGGGATGGGATGTATCTATTAAACATCTTTGGGCAGTACACTGTACGTACGATAAACATTTACGGAATTTGATTTGAACGTCCATATGACGTCGATTGTTGCTTGGGATTGGCATTTTCTTATTGTATTATTTTTACTGTCCAGCTATTGTGTCATTTCTCTAGAATATCTATATATATATATTTTACTTTAAAAATTTACCCAATATTATTTTTTAGCATATATTAGTGAATAAATGAAAAAAAAAAGTTTACTAGTAAAGAAGAAATATACACTGGCTCAATACTGGAATTCAATACTGGCTATAAAACATAAGGTGTGAACCAATCTTGCGGAACCAATTTGTAAGCAATAATTTATGCTACTCACTTGAGTTAGTAGGTCGACAAGTGTAAATATTCGTGAGATAAAATATTCGCAATATGATTATTTATAAAGGTAATATTATAGTGTATAATTATTCATAGAACTAATTTTTATTTAAATACTTCTCAGTCAAATATTGACCAATAATAATCAAGTGACTGAATAAAATCATGAACTTCTTTATGTACGTGTAATGTGTAATAAAAAGTTCCCATTTTAATGATGAATGTATTCTCCATAATTAGACCAAAGTAAACAAACAATATTTATGTTTCATGAGGTGATTTAATATAAATATGTATGACAGAGCACTTTCGTGAGAACTGAAATCGTTTTACTCATCAATCTCCCCTGAAATAAAAACGTGTGCGTAATCTAGTAGCTTAATATTTGAGCTAGATTCCTTTTTTTCGCTATTTTATATAAAGTACTCTCGAAGCTTATAATATATCATAATTTATGGTATAAACTAAAACATTAAAAAGTCTAAATATTTAAAAGTCATTGCAATCTTTGCCAGTAATTGCGCATGACATCGTTTTTCAACACATGTTGCGTGGATCCTATTTTAATAAATTACCTAAAAATTAATATAAATATAGTTTATTGTAAGATTTGTATATTTAAATGCAATTCAAATATTCATAAAATATTCATGAACTTTACTTAATTTTATACTTATATTAACAAACTCCGAAAATATAAATATTGTTTAATTATTTTAATATAATTCTTAAAAATTACTGATAATATTAGAGTGGGGGTTCTCTATACTGGATTATATAAAGAACCTCATAGTTTCATTCGC